CATGAGAATTGAACGTCAAACCCACAGGGAGTCGGGTCACCCCGACCAGTAAGTCGGACAAAAGGCCGACGAGCCTCTGTATAACCCGCACACAAATTACAACTGCAATTAATGTAATGAACTGTAATAGAGAAATGCTCGTAAAATAAGTTAAAAGGGACTTGCAAGTCCGTCAACATTGTGGGCCTGCGAGCCCGACTAAAAGTTACTGTTCTTGATATATTCCAAATGCCTTCATATCCTTTGATAACTCACCTTGGAGACCTGCGAGTCTTCGAATCTTGACTAACCAATACAAATAAAAATTATATTCACAAAAAAAAAAAGCAGTTTAGTAGATCTTCCCTTCCAGAGACACAGGCACAGCTACTGCAGAACACCAATCTGCCGAACAGGAAACCATATGAATGCTGTAAACAGCCGAATAGGAAAAACCATACCAATAGGTTAACACTCCTAGCAGTCAAACTGGAACAGCATACAATAAATCCCCCCCAAGAACGAGACAAGGCTCTGTTTTGAGGGTCAAGCAGTGAACAGACAGAGCTGTGGGTTTATTGTTCTTATATACACATTCTTACACATTAGTACCACCCACAGGGTTTTGGAAAACAACCAATAAACACATACAATACACTCAGACACTCCCACACAAAATCCTCCCCTCTGCCTGTGATACAATTACCTTACACAATGGGTTAATGTAATTATCAGTTTTAATTAACAGTTTTTCCACATTATTCATAACTTGAAAAGTATGCATCACATTCACATAAAACTTAAATTTTCAGAATCAGCATACTCCAAATACAAATACAATACATATGTCAAAATCATCCAAAGTGGTCCATTGGTTCAAAAGATAGATCAAAGTCCTTTGTGAGCAAATGAAGCATGGCTTTTCTGCCCAAAACCAGTTCCACAGAGTCTTCTATCCTGGAGATAATTGGGAAGTAATCCAATTATCTCCAAGGACAGAGGCAAAACTCCATTGAACACATGGCAGCAAAAGACAATAAAATACATAAAAACATAACTGTGCAGCCATTGCACAAAACAGATACATTCAACATATCCCAGATAGCTCAGATCTGAGCGCACATTATTACTGAATGGCGCTCAGAGCACACACATACAGTTCAATTGCCATGGAGCCAAAGTCTTTTCCATAGTCTTTCATTATACGAATGGGCTCCATGGCATAGCTATCTGGGGTATCACCGCTCAAACAGGGCCAGCACCGAATGACCCGGCTTTCGTGTCTTTGCAGGGGAAAATCAAGCGTTTCAACATGGGGCCATAGTCTAAAGGCAGCAGGCGGGCAACCAGGCTCCTCCAATGCACAGTGGCGAGATTGGTCTTGTCACAGGAGTTTGCACCCAGACCACTTCAATGAGCTGAAGTGGTCTGGGTGCCTACAGTGTCCCTTTAAATCTCATTGAAGTGGTCTGGGTGAAGTGTTCCTGTCCCTTTAACCCTGTAATGTAAAACTGTAGTTTTGGATAAACTGCAATTTTACATTGCAGGGTTAAGACAACCTCTAGTGGCTTTCTTTCAGACACCCACTAGAGGCGCTTCCTGCATTCTAACTCTGTGAAATTATGCTAGACGTCCTTACGCTTTGCATGAGGAAGTCCAATGTCTTCAAAATCCCTATAGGAAATCATTGATTCATTGATTTGTTATGGCAAAACTCAAAGGCATATACGCTTTAGGTTCCCCCATTGCCGTGACATCGCTGGAGGAGAAGACTGATCCAGGGCCGAGGTACATTAACGCTGGAAACGGGTAAGTGTAAGAATTTTTTTTTTTTTTATATCCAATTTGACAATTTTTATTGTTTTTAGTTGGGAACAGAAAGAAAAAGTGGAGTGTCAAGGGGGAAGTATGCATTAACATCGGTAAAGACCTGATTACGGTAACAAATTCACAATATGACAATTTTTGTTTTCATATTGTTAACAGTATATCACAGCATACAGTACTGGTGCACGCTCACAATATCCGATACCCTTCAGAGCATAATGAAGGTAGCATAACAATGTTAATGGGTACAATCCTGGTTTGTGGTAGTGGTTATCAATAGGCAACCCTTGGGGGCAGAGTTAAATAAAATAGGGATTGCAACATTCCAGTGGTAACACGTTTCATGTCTGTAGACGGGGAATTGTTTTTAACCCTTTGTACACCGTGAGGGGGACGGACCTATAGTAGTAGGGACAGATTTGAACTCCAAACACAATAGTGTTACTTTAATGTTATAGTAATAGAGGAGTGGCTGTTCCCCTTTAAAGGGAATCTTATCAATAATGTTTACTTTTACTGATGTTTGACTGAGACGCCCTTCAGTTCATTAGAAGTACATCCTTAGTTGCTCTGCTGCTTTCTAAAGCTTTTTGTTATGTATGTATCTAACAAGGTATTAAAGCTACTAGGATTAGATCACGGGTGGTGTATTGATGACATTTTCAGAAATCTGTCGTGATAGATATAGCTAAGCTCATACACAGTTTACAAGTTAATGAACGTTACACCCTAGGGCATTTACATGTATTGAGGAGATGAAAAATGTCTGCTTCCAGACACGTAATGTTCTCTGCTAATGTAAAACATTAATGAGAAGTTGCAGAGGCAGTGAACTTATGTCCATTACATGCCAATCCCTATATTATTAGAGGCCGGTTGTATCTACAGCTATTTTCCAAGGACATGATGCAGCTATGGTATAGGTGAGAGAGTAGGTCAGAAACTTAGAATAATTTGTGGATATATCTGGACAGAGACAAACAATTCTGTTATCTGTCGTTTGCAGTCTTTCATTTTACAATGTGTATGTTGTGCCTTTTCTGCCAGTTCAGAGTGTACTGTTTATCTAACGGACAGGGACTTAAAGGTTATTTAATGATTATTGAGCAATGTTCAGTGTGCAGACCTCCAGACGGTCCGGAGTTTGGTTGAATAGTGCCTATATCTGGGTCCTTAGTTGGTTTCCTGATAATCTGCATCTGAGAACAGGGATCTCTCCCTAACCAGCACAGCTAGTGCACAACAGAACAGGGATCTCTCCCTAACCAGCACAGCTAGTGCACAACAGTAGTGCTCAGGACCATGCCCTCAGGAAGCATGGTCTGGGTGTCACTGGCATGGCCCAAGGGGAAGTGGAAGTCATACACATATGCCAATTATAGTATATATAGGTCATATACGTGTGCCAATCAGAGCATACCATGTGCACCAAAATGTCTTCAGCAGGGTTAGTCAAACTTTGGCACTCCAGATGTTTGTAACGATATCTCCTTTAATGCTATATATATAAACCTATAACCAACAAATTATAGGTTTAAATAATCAAATCATTATGTACATTTAAATGAACACTACAAACACTTAAAGGGAAACCCTAGTGCCAGGAAAAAATTTGTTTTCCTGGCACTGCAGGTCCCCTCTCCCACCCACCTCCCAATCCCCGGTTAATGAAGGGGTGAGAACCCCTTCAGTAACTTACCAGAGGCAGCGACATGTCCCACGTCGCTGCTTCTTCCTCCGCCGCCGCTCCTCCTCTGCATTATGTCGGCCGGTGGGCGAGACTGATCCCGCCCACCGGCCGGGGAGACCTAATGCGCACATTAGCGCTCTCCATAGGAAAGCATTGAATATGCATTTCAATACTTTCCTATGGGGAAATGAGCGACACTGGAGGTGTCCAGTGACGCTCTAGCACAGGTTTCCTGTGCTAGAAACCAGGAAGTGCCCTCTTGTGGCTGTCTAGTAGACAGCCACTAGAGGTGGAGTTAACCCTGCAAGCTAATTATTGCAGTTTATAAAAAAACTGCAATAATTACACTTGCAGGGTTAAGAGTAGTGGGAATTGGCACCCAGACCACTCCAATGGGCAGAAGTGGTCTGGGTGCCTGGAGTGTCCCTTTAACCCCTTAAGGACCAAACTTCTGGAATAAAAGGGAATCATGACATGTCACACGTGTCATGTGTCCTTAAGGGGTTAAACTCAATTGACCCTGCTGAAAATCTTTTTTTTTTTTTTGTGTGAAGAATGTGTACTCTCATTCAATCTACGAAAAGTGCAGATTTCAACAGAAGTTGATACTTTTTTTAAACTGAACACTCTCTTGGCTGTCAATTAGATAACCAGTTCTGTTATTTCCTAGTCGTTTCACTCATCGGAGGTAAACTCAAGAGGCCGTAAATGTGCAGAGCATCTGCTTTGTGAATACTTATTATTGAGCTGCATTGGGAAATCTGTGTTTAGGCCCTGGGGAGTCAGCATAGCTAAACGGACACGGGCACATGTATGAGTGTGGTGATGGTGCTAGTGATTGGCTATATTTGTTTAGGGGAGTGGTTATGGGTTAGTAGTGGGGGAGTGCCTTTTGGGATTCTGGCCAGCAAACAACTTCCCACCCACCCACCCACTCTAATTTTCTGTTTTTGTTCCGTCACAGCTAGCGGGGAGCGTGTCCTTGCCAACAGGGTTGGGGAGCAGGTGGAATGTCAGGAAATGGACATGGTGGGTCTCAACCTCCCCTGCTCTGTAAGGTAAACTTTTAAATTACCTAATAGGACGTGCCCACTGAGCAAAAAGCCGGCTGGTTGTAGAGCATTTAAGATGATGGGAATTTTGGGTTTGGACGAGAGGGGAGGCGAGTGGGTACCAGTGGGTAAAGTTTTGGTGCGTAGGCACCTGGTTAAGTTCAAGCAACAAATGGGTCGCAAGAGTATTCTGAGAACGGACAGCAGCTAAAATAGCCTGCCCTTCGGTGGGTCCCCGCTCAGAACTCAAGCTGGTTTTAGCCCCTTTCTTACGCAAGATGCTACCAAGGAGCTTGTCCATGCTCTAGTAATTTCCCGCATGGATTACTGTAACCCTCTCCTGATTGGTCTCCCCAAAAGCCCTATTGCTCCCCAAAAGCCCTATTGCAGTCTGTAATGAATGCTGCAGCTAGACTGATTTTCCTCTCTAGTCGGTCCTCTCACACCTCACCCCTCTGCCAGTCTTTACATTGGCTCCCTATATGCTATAGGAGTCAATTCAAAGTGCTAACCCATACATTTAAAGCACTGAACAATTCTAGCCCCACTTATATCTCTTCACTAATCCATAGATATGCCCCTCCTCGTACCCTCCGCTCTGCCCGTGACCACCTCCTGACTGCTGCTCGCACCCGTACGGCCAACTCGCGCTTGCAGGACCTCTCGCGGGCGGCTCCTCTCCTATGGAATAGCTTGCCTACTGCCATCAGACTCTCCCCTAGTCTTCAATCATTTAAGAAGGGCCTTAAAACCCATCTCTTCAGGAAAGCTTATGGCCTCCCAGAGTAATCTCTACCTTACATACCTGTCTCCTGCTCTCTCCTATGGGACAGTGATTTGCTCTCTCCTCCAGCTCTGCTTCACTCCTACTTGATATTTCATGTCCTAACGTTTCTAATACCCTACCTCCTATAGTCTGTAAGCTCGTTTGAGCAGGGCCCTCTTCAACCTATTGTTCCTGTAAGTTTTCTTGTAATTGTCCTATTTATTGTTACATCCCGCCTCTCAAAATATTGTAAAGCGCTACGGAATCTGTTGGCGCTATATAAATGGCAATAATAATAATAATAACATATCTGAAGCAAATGAGACTGGTCCCACCCATACGGGCAGTCCAGATCCGAAATGCCAGCAAGTTCTCTCTGCATGAGAGATACAGCAATCCCAGACGATCGTTTCAGCCTTGTTAGGCATCATCAGTGAGGCATAGCTGATATCTCTCTAGGCACCGTGAGCAAGGGGTCCACGTCTGGATTACCCTTTAAACTAATGGAGAGCAAAAAATGGGTCGCAAGAGTATTCTGAGAACGGACAGCAGCTAAAATAGCCTGCCCTTCGGTGGGTCCCCGCTCAGAACTCAAGCTGGTTTTAGCTCATCTTGTGCCTTTACAGAGAGAACATATCTGAAGCATATCAGACTGGTCCCACCTATACGGGCAGTCCAGATCCGAAATGCCAGCAAGTTGTCTCTGCACGAGAGATACAGCAACCCCAGACGATCGTTTCAGCCTTGTTAGGCATCATCAGTGAGGCATAGCTGATATCTCTCTAGGCACCTGGTTAAGTTCGTTGGCAAGGACGGTTATTTAAGTTGGAGGCTGTAGGGCAATAAGTGTAATTTATATGTTAATTTATATGTTAATTATGGTATGTGTGTATTTATTTATGTGTTTATTTATATTTGAATTAAAGAAAAAGAATAAAGTTCGGATGAGTCCCACAGTTTAATAAATGCTGTGGCCTGTTTCATCCAATATTTGTTGTTTGTCATTATTGGGGGGAGAATTGGGGTAGTCTTCTTACTCTTAGTCGCACCACATTCCCCGCTACGTAAATAAAGGACAGCCAAAAAAAAAAAAAAAAAAAAAGTCTGGGAGGGCTTGCAAAGGTAGCAGACAAGAGATCTGTGGATTTTTTAAAACTGTTTTATATATGCCCCCATTTAAAAATATGCATAATTGAGGGTATGTTTAAATAGTGATTTAAAAAAATTGGGGGTGGGGGGGCAGTGGAGTGTCCCTTTAAATAACAGCTTTTAGTACCACGCCAATGGCTGTTTAAAGTGTATGCTCACCTGTGAAGTATTTGGGAACATGAGCAGGTTTTTCTTTCTCATTAGAGATTTAACCTTTAACCTTTAACCTTTAACCTGAAAGCAACAAGATGAATTGTTAGTGTTGGATTTGATTGGAGGTTTGCTTTAAATTGACAGGTGAGCTTACACATTAACAGCCATTGAAGTGACACTGAAAGCCTCCTGTTAATAAAATGTGCATAGGGACTTGCAATAGCATGCAGGTAACATTTTTTGCTTTTAAAATTAGTCAGGTTGTAGAATTTATTAAATTCAGTCATTTTTACCTAAATCTTTGAACATGTTATTAACTAAACTCCTAAGTTTTAGTGAATTAAATCCCCCTGGCAAAACTGAAGCTAAAATATCTATTTTGGAAAAACTAACCAACAGGACTATAGTCACCATATTATTTATTTTAGTCTCAATTTTGCCAATTGGAATTCATTTGCTAAAACTCTCCACAATTCAAAGTGAATTTCAAACTCAAGTATTTGAACTGGAAAAATATCAGACTTGGAGAATGTTTCCATTTTGGCTATTTTTATAATAACTTATTTATGTCACGCTTTTCACCCAGTGAGACTCAAAGCCCCTTTCAGTGCACGCTCTGAGAATTAACCAAATCAGCAGCTTAATACTAATAGATTTACTTATTTTTTTGACCTTGGAAGGATGAAGGGATTTTAACCTCTATAGTCAGGAAATTTACCACCTGAGCTACCTCACCAGCTACTTTACAGAAAATGTTAAATTCTCATGTTAGTGAATAACCCAGTTGGGCAGTGTTCCCGAGTGACTCCATTCACCTCCTCATTGTTACAATACTTGCCACTTTCTATACAGAATTTGTAAATTGCAACTTATGAGGTATGAATGCGGGATGGGAGTGGGAGGGATCACAGCGAGGTTTACTGTACGCATCACTGGCAGCAGTCTAGGGCCCCAAATTCAAGTTTTAAAGCAACTCCTTGTATTGGAGTGCATAAATAAATGAGTTTGTGTATATAATGCGAATGTATATTTGTTCATGTACAATCACTAAGACTGTTGATGTGGATTGTGTATATAGTGTAAGTAGGCCTCAAATGTCCTAAGCTAAAACTCATCTAGAAATGTCACCATAACAAATGCAAATATACCACTGCAACCCCATCTTATCTTCCCATTGCTAAGACACACCCTGATTGTCTTGCAGTGTGTTCACACGTGTTTCTGATTCTATTGGCAAAGCTCAGTCACCCGTGCAACACTGTAGTATGAAGATGTATGGCAGCATGTGAATGTTGGGGTGCAGAGTGGCAGTGTGTGAATGTTGGGGTGCAGAGTGGCGGTGTGTGAATGTTGGGAGGTGTTTATGCAGTATGGTGATGTGTGAATGTTGGGGTGTATTTATGCAGAGTGGCAGCTTGTGTATGAATATTGGGGTGTTTTGTTTTTGTTTTGTTTTTTTTTGAGCCCATGTTCTGCTCTCTGTCATTTTATCCTAATGTCCCTCTTTTCTATTAGCTCCATATTGTTGACGTGCCTGTGTTTTTAACAGAGCTCTACAGCAATGCTACGCACAGTAATGTCTCTAAACTATAATAAATGTGTTTGGAAATCAGACTGTGTCAATAAGAGACACACTGTACTAATTAAGGTTCCAGAATTGCCGTCCTTTGGTTGCCTGCATGCACTGTTTCCGACAGTCGTAAGCTCTCTATTTGACCTAAGCCTTACTACATAAAATGGGGGAGATGCGGCTCTCCTTTACCTTGAATGCTGAATGCCCACGGGTGTATTGGTGCTTGTTCCAAGTAAATCTGTCCTTGACTTGCAATGAGAGATTTACGTCAACTTAGTTATTGTTTTATTATAGACTAGCACAAATAAAATATTAATGCCTTTGTTCAATAATTTCCTCTTTTACTTATTCGTTTAAATGTTTACAGCAACAGCTATTGCGCAAAATTGTTAGTTTCATTGTAAATCGCAGTAAGGACCTGTAAAAGTATTTGAATGTCATGTGCCTCAGGGCAAATAGTTTTAAGTTCCATTAAACATCGTGGCATTTCTAGGACTATGCAAAACAAATTCATTGTGATACATACAAGTTTATTCATTAAACATCAAAGTGGATTGAACTGAATATAACATTTTGAGAAAACCACAAATACAACATGGAACGTTTTCATATATTTGCCGGAAAAAAATAAGAAATATTTTTTCCAGCAAATATATGAAAACGTCCCATATTGTATAGGTAAGCATTTGACATTTCTTTTTAGCGCTGCACTATACACTGTTGTGTTTGAAAGGGGTAGTATCACCTAAACCTTGTTCTAGCACGTTGTGTGTTTTTCTCACTATTGGATTTCTGGGTAAATAGGTGAACCCAAAGAGTGCTAAAGCTGCTTTTAGACAAATAAACACCTTTTTAGGATAATCCTATTATACTCGGTTATCACACTATAAAAACTTTTTCTTGTGAACATAACATTTTGTTTATATAAATTAAACTTAATTGTAGCAAATTACGATCTGGCAAAATGAAAATTCTCCAATGGTATGTAAAAAGCTATTTTATCTCTTAGAGTTTGAAATTCACTTTGAATTCCCAACAATGCACACTTTAGTGAATAGCCCTCTTTGTTTTTAGCACAATATAATTCACTGTTTAGTGGATAATCCCCACAGTAGACTTTTCCTGCAAAATCCTTTTTGTTCTCATAGTGTTTTCACAAAGAGCTAGATTTACATGAAGGCAATGCAGTCCGTTTGATTGCAGATCAGTATTGGAGAATAGTAGAGCAAATATCACATAGGTGACAAAAGTCCTAAAATTTTGCCCGGAGAGTCCTGTGTCTTAGAGTCCGGTCCCTGTAAAAATGCATCCCTCATAAAATGGTTCAGCAATCTGGCAGATTTTAAAATGCAGAAGGGGGTAGAACACAAGAACTGTGCACAGAGCGCTTCAGCTGCTCTCTATGCATGGTTTACCTTTGGGAGAGCTGTTAAGCATGGCCATCAACTTTAGGGTTGGTCTTGCCCACATGTAGGTCTTCCTCTTGAGAAGCCTTTTATCTTGCTCCTTCTCTTCCTGGTTCTTCCTTAATTTTGACTCTCCTGGATGGTGCGCAGGTAATAATTAAAGGAAAACTGAGGCACACAGAACATTTCATCTTAATGTGCCCCCTGTTGTAACCTGCAGCTGAAAACGTCAGTGTTTTCTTTGCAGGGTTAACTCGCCTCTAGTGGATGTCAAATTGATAGCCACTAGAGGCGAGTTAACCCTGCAAAGAAAACATGCACTGGTTACACATGCACATTAGCCTCCAAATGCGATTGAGGAAAGCAATGGATTGGCTAAGATCATCGAGGTGGAATTTTCCAAAGGGAATGGCACTGCATGTGAGAAGAGGTAAAATAACTTTTAACCCTAGCAGCGCTGGCCAGGTTACCCAAACAGTGACTGGGGCACTATAGAGTTAGGAATACATATTGGTGTTCCTTTTAAAGTGCAAATTAAAGAAGGCCTTGCTTGTGATAAGGTGGTTCATAATTGATTGCCTGGGTCAGCAGGAGTTCAGATCTAATTAAAAGTTAGGTGACTGGTGTGGTTATGAATTATAGTAGTGTTATATAGTAGTGCTATAAAATA